TTACCACCAGAGTGGTTAGCAGGCTGTCTGCCTGGGAGTTGAAGCTGTGATCTGTTTAGTTGTGAAGCTCAAGGGAACAGCAGAACCTGAAATAGAAAGCTACCTACCAAGTCTATAGGCACAGCAGATTGTGCAAGTTTAAGTGGTTTGAAAATGCAGAAATTCTTCATCTTCAGTGAAATCATATTCTACAGACAAGGAGAGCGGAAGAACACTTAAATTATGAATTAGCTTGACACAAGGAAAACTAATCACAAAGCATGACCTAAATTTGGGAAACTAATCAAAACATTTACTACTCTCATCAGAAAAAAACAGTAGCTCATAGGAGCCTGTCAAAGGTGTTTGCTTATGACATATGTTGCTTTAAGTACACTTAAACCCCTTGCCCTCTGAAGTTACATGAACACAGTAAGAACTACAAATTACAAATAACCATTGCTCCAATTTATTTCTTCACCACTGAATTCCCACAGATCTATGCAATGGCAGCATATCCTCCCTTGGGAGGCTGATTACAGAAACTGGTGGTGTTCTTTTGTTCTCTAAATCAGACTGAGTATAAACAGGATAAATAATGTCTGCCATCTTACAAATCCAGAATATAAAGTGAAACAAAAGTGAAGGGCTAACTGTTTCAGAAAAAGTAACTGTCTGGCAGATGGGAATCTGGTATAACTTCCAGTGGAAGTGGCTTATAAAGTAGAATGGACAGAGTACTGGAATGTCTTCAAATCTTCAAATATTCTCCCTTAGCAATTTCCACAGGCAAAGCAAGCTTGGTGTGGTGTAGCTGAATAAACTGTGTGACATTCACCACACACCTGGTTTAAGAAAAACCTCATTATTGCTGAGCAGATTTTCCAGAAGCAGTTCTTATGGATAGTATAAACATGTTGCTAGGTGACAGAAAGACAAGGACGTAAACCTTCCCAAGGGCAGCCTGGTAACTCCTGAGAGAAAGGAAATCGGGATCCCAAACTTAGCTTGGTTAATATTTTAGGCTGAGCCAGTCAAAATTAATAACAGGAGAGCAAATCCTTTGATATAAAAGAAGGATGAAGACGGCTCAGTGTGTTTGATATTATTGTGTGGTTATTGATGACTTCATTTACTGTATTGTTCAGTGTAATTTCATGACTCTGTTAATATCATTATGTGCCCAGTTTTCTTGCAGAAGGTCTTGTCATACGAGACCTGCTTTGTGGTAACAATTAACTCCCTTCTGCATCTGTTCCTCACTAGACTGTGGCCGTCGCCCAGCTGCTCGCATGAACAAGAGGATCCTTGGTGGTAGGACCAGCCGCCCAGGCCGATGGCCATGGCAATGCTCCCTGCAGAGTGAGCCAAGTGGACACATATGTGGCTGTGTTTTGATTGCAAAGAGATGGGTCTTGACAGTAGCACACTGCTTTGAAGGGTGAGAGGGCCCAGACAGCTTTACTGTTCATATAAACTTGCATATATGAATTACCAAGTCCTCCCTCCTCTACCAAAGACACTAGGGGTAGGTGATGACCTTTGCAGAATGGCAAATCACAGAGGCCTGGTTTTAAGAGACTAAAAAAATCATAGAATCGTTTAGCTGGAAATGACCTTTAAAATCATCAAGTCCAACCATTAACCTAGCACTGCCAAGTCCACTGCTAAACCATGTCCCTAAGCACCACATCTACACGTCTTTTAAATACTTCCAGGGATGGTGACTCCACCACTTCCCTGGGCAGCCTGTT